GATAGTTATCAATCGTTGGCTCATTTTGGGCCTCAGCCTTTGAGTATCGATGGGTCTTCAGAAGCAATGGGTCCCCAAGAAAATCTAGTAGACTGTGATGTTGAAGAAGAAGATAATGATGAAGAAAATTACAGTGATTCTTTCCGGCCGTACTCGAACTCACGGTCAGAGAAGCTGTGGCCTAGTAGCAACATCCCGTGGCCGTCTCGCAGAGAATTTGTACAAATCAGGCCTACTGGAGTGGTTAGTTATCAAAATTTATTTGAATTTTTAGTAATTGTAAAGGAATCTTGATAAGTTGGTTAAATTTATGTGTTTTTGTTTATGATTTTGCAGGCTGCAGGGCTTGAAAATCTGGGGAACACATGCTTCATCAATGCAATTCTGCAATGCTTCACTCATACGGTGCCCTTTGTTCAGCGTCTTCGTTCTTGCAATCATGTAAAGCCATGTGATGGTAAGGTCAATTACTCTTTTTGGGGTTTTTATATTCTGAATAAGTAGCAAGTTTATATGAATGGCCACAACATTTGGAAATGTTAGGATGTCGAAGAACGTGATAGTGGTAGAAAAGATGCATTACCAAATTTTAAAGGGGAACTTTTAAATTGTAAGATTGAATGTAAGACTCGTAATGATATAGTTTTAACTTTTCAGTCTTGTATTTCAAGGCTTACTTTTGGTATTAGAATATGCCGTTATTGTAGCTGAAGACTGACTCAAATATATTGATTTTTGCTAGTATTTGTTTCTTACTTCTGAAAATTGGAATTTAATTGTATCTGGATTGCAATTTTTACAGGTGCTAGTGAAGGATTCTGTGTTATTTGTGCTCTTTGTCAACAGATTGACCTTTCATTAACTTCTTCAGGAAAAGTTGTCTCTCCTTCAAAGCTTGTTGAGAATTTGCACAGTATCCTTTTTCGCATTTATTTATAATCATACAATTTTTTTTTTCCGTTTATTTATAATCATGCAATTTTTTTCGTGTTTGTTTATGATCATGCAAATATTTCCTCTTGTTGTTTGGTTTTTTTTTTTGGGTGATTTGTCACTATAATACAGGAGCTTTTAATCATAGTTATTGGATTTTTGCACATTATATCTAATATGGCTTAAATTAGTTTTGTTGCAGCAGTTAAGTTTATGATACTTTTGATGCATCTAACGCTTAGAATGCTACATCTGTTCACCTATTTTGCAAGATATATTGATGTTTGGATGGGAGTTTTTTCAATGAGTTCTTGTCATTGATTGTTATTCTTAATTTATAATAATTAGACATTTCATCTTCCTTTGAAAGATACCAGCAAGAAGATGCCCATGAGTTCCTGCAGTGTTTGTTAGATAGACTTGAAAGATGCTGTTTGGACTCTAAGAAAATAGATGAGAGTTTGCCTCGCAAAGATAACAACATAGTGGAGCAGATTTTTGGTGGCCGCCTCATTAGCAAAGTATGAAATGACTTTTCTGAACATAAATGCTACTTTGCTCAATGTTTGGATTATAGATTCTTTTATTGTATTTTCTAATTGCTAGCATTTGCATTTCAGTTGCAATGCTGCAATTGTGGTCATTGTTCTGACACATATGAACCACTAATTGACCTGAGTTTGGAGATTGAAGAGGTTGGCTCTCTTGAAGCTGCACTGGAATCTTTCACTAAGCTGGAAAAGATTGAAGATACAGAGACAAAGTTTACTTGTGAGAACTGTAAGGAAGAAGTGTCAGTGGAAAAGCAGCTTATGCTGGACCAGGCTCCTTTGGTTGCTGCATTTCATTTGAAAAGATTCAAGACGGACGGAACCTATGTTGTGAAGATTGATAAGCATGTTGAATTCCCGTTGGAGCTTGACTTGCAGCCCTACACCAATGGTGGTCAAAATGGTGATGTGAGTCAAAGATTATCTATTTGTTGCTAATTAGAATAGTAGTAGTAGATTATTGTTAGATTTGTTAAAATTTTCATTTTCTAGATTGGAGTTCTTTGCTGTTTATTCTGCACTGCTGGAAAGCATTATTTTATTGCTACTTTTGACTAACTGTTGAGAGATAAGAACAAAAGGACCTAGGAGGATATGATTGGATGATTAGATCACTATGTAAATTTTTGCAGTTCCTTAACATTGATTTAGTGTGCATTGAATTCACGTCATATTTCTTCTCTCTATAGAAAGATACAAGTTAACGAATTTTCTTGTGCTGTTCAATTTCTATAGGTGGAGTTAAAGTATCATCTATATGCAATTGTGGAGCACACTGGATGTTTACCAACTTATGGGCATTACTTTTCTTACATTCGATCCTCTCCAGACACATGGCACAAGCTAAATGATTCAAGGGTAATTATTTTATAAATTATTCTTAGTTAGTCTTTGAGTGTAATATTCTTGCTCTTGATTAGGTTTAGGTTGTTTTTGAGGCATATGAAAAAGGATCTGGATTTGTGCTTAGATTTTTTCAGAACTTGGGATTTTATGATGCAATGAAATCCAGGTCTGGATGGAGGCCTTGTTATTTGAGATCTATGGGAGTGGAATTTTTTTTTGCTTTGGTTCTTCCTCTGTTTAAATGGGAATCAAGATGCTCAATACCGGATCATTTTTCATGAATTTTCTCTTTCATCCATGCAACTTCATGTATTTTCTTGTTTGATCTTTTGTAGGTCACTAGGGTCAATGAGGATGTTGTTCTCTCCCAGGATGCCTATATTCTGTTCTATGCCAAGCAGGGCACTCCCTGGTGTTCCAGTTTGTTAGAAGCTGAGAAGTGCTTGGATACCGCTTCCAATTCATCACCCAAGTCAGTTCTAGATAATATGGATGGTGGTTTTACTCACTATTGCCGGGTAACAAATGCTGAAATCAATGAATCCAGAGACACTTCTGGAGAGAGTTCAAGCCATTTCTCATGTGAAACAAGAGTGGAAGCTGTTAAGGTCAATGGAACTAGGGATGCTATGGAGGGAATTTCTGCATCTTTTACCTCAGGAACACGGCAGAATGTGTCCAAAATTGAGACTAGAGATGATTCTTCCACTATCGATGCTTCAAAGCCCCTTAGGACGAGTGATGGTCATGGAGTGTTTTCCAATGAGAAAGTAGATAATTTGCCTTCTCTTGAGGCAAGTAAGAGCTCCCAGGGTGTTGACAAAGTTAAAAGCAACGATGGTTTCCGTCCTTTGACACCATCCCGGTCTCCTAGTCCAGATAATTATCCTAGCAAACCTTCAGGTAAAGAAATGCATTATTGTCAGTTCTTTTTATTTGTATGAATGTTTTCCCATGACATTGTTAATTTGATTTAACTTGGCGTGTTTTGAATTTGTTAGAAACTTACTCTGTCCCTCGCGAGCATCTAAAACTGTATCATCTGAAATTGGAGAGTCAGCTAAATGGTAAAAGACAATTGGAAAAGGATGATAAGGCTTTTGAGAGACAGGAAGCTATACGCTGCCTTAAGAGGAATATGACTGGTTCAAGGTGTTTGAAACTTATGGCTGCAGTAAATGATGGTTCTACGAGCAAGAAAAGAAGAGTTAAATCATCTCCATGTAAAAGGTCCAGTCCACGTAGTGCTCGCCGCAAACACAGCCATAGCTCGGTCATGCGTCGTGTGGCAATATGATGCTGAACAGTTAATAGATTTTGCTCAGAAATATTAGATGTTAACATTAAGGTTCCTAATATTATACTGAATATTACATTGATCTTGTATCTACTGGAAAATGTAAAGTTCAGTTTTAGTGTGAGTAGTAATTTTGCTATAATATTTTCAAAGTAAGATAAAAGCTTTTTCTTTTAGTTACTATCCTATTATTTCCATGTGAAGTTGACCTAACGAATAATGTAGAATAGGGAGAACGAGATTTTCCCACTCAAGTTTGACAAAACAACATATTTCTATTTTTTATTAAGTTTTGTTAGTTTTTTTTTGTTAATATTTGATTAGAAAGATGAAATACCTTTATAATAGTTTATTATAAATTAAAATTTAGTTAAATTAAAGTTTTTATTCGATTATTTATTAATTCAAATGTAAAAATATTATTTATTTATTTAATTAATTAAAAATATTGATTTTTTTATATTAATTAGTAAATATAGAAAATATTATATTATGAAAATCATTATAAATTTAATAGATTATTTAACTTTAAATAATTTTATAATATTATTCTTAATTTTTTAGATGAGACTAATTATTATTATTTTTTTTTACTTTTTGGTTAATTGAAAAATAATAAAAAATTTATAAAGTAAAATATTTGAGAGCATTTTCATTTTTTAAGTAAAATATTAATAGAATTTTAAAACTTGAAAGGTGGGAAAGTATGGTTGGATGGGACCATGGGAAAATATCGTTCTCCCTCAAGAAGACAACTGACAATTCAAACAGACTTCATGTCTATTATCAAAAACCTCCCTTGAGGTTTAAGCATCCAAAATTAACAACAAATGTTACATAAATCCTCCAAACCTCCTCTGTGCTTTCCTCTTTTCTCAAATACCCCCCCTACACATCGTTTTCATTAATGATATGGGAACTAGAGAAACTAATCCAAACAGTTAAATGGCAACATAAAATGAATCGCATGGAAGTTTGTCACTATTGTGTTAGTGTTCTAGACAATCTATCCTGCTACGATACTTCTGATACATTTTGCAGTAAGGAGACAATTCCTTTGATAGACATATTCACTATAAAATTTAAAGCTGAGCATAATCTTACAGACAACTTGGCATAGTAATTGACTCAAGAACTTGGCTTCGTTGTACATTACACTCTGCACTTGCATTGGTTATAGATATATGTCAAATCACATCTTGTATTAATCCTCCAGAAAAAAAAAAAAAAAAAAGCTTAGTTTATTTCAAAAACAATATGCTCATACTTTGTTTTGCCAGACCTTAATTTTTCTTTTTCCCAAAAGACAAATCCGGACTCCCATTATTTGAGCTAAACCCATCTACACAAATTGCCTTCCCTTACCTCTCATAACAATTTCTTCTTACATGAAACTGAAAATTTTTCTATTGGCAAAATATATAGAATCAGCTAGCTGGAAAAATGGTTTGTAACCTTTACTCAACAAAGGCAAGGCCTTTTGATGGAAGCGAGAGATCATCAGCAGGAGATGATGAGATCAGGGTGGGTGAGTCACCTGCTGGCTCAGCTACAAACATCGGTAAACATGTGGTGATTGTAATGGATGGGCTTAAAGATTTCACCATGGAACCTCTTGAATGGGCACTCCACAATATTATGCCTACCGGTTCTACTGTCACTCTCTTGGGTCTCATGCCATGGCTTAACATTCCCCGTAAGTCTTCAATTTATATATATATTTCCCATATAAATTAAAAATATATTAACTAACTAATTATATGATCTCTAGTATCTTCAAAAACATGGAGGGATGTTTGGATGCTGGAACTGGAAGACCTTAGTATTGCAAAAGATAAAAGTGAATGGAAAAGCGATGCAAAATATTTGAAGCTTCAAGCTGTGATAGACCTCTGCAAAAAATATGGGGTTCTGCCGCAAAAGGAAGTAGTAATGGGCTATCCTCCACGACTACTGGTTGTTGAGAGAATCGTCAGCCTTCATGCTACATGGGTTGTTTTTGACAGGTATTAACTGATTTTATACATTGTTGGAGAATTTTTTGTTGAAGAAGGTTATATATAAATTAATGGAAACTTGGAATTATTGCGATGTGCAGTGACAAGTATCACAAAAAGAATAGAGACTTCTATGCGGAAAAAATTCCATGTAACATGGTGATGATGAATGAAGGAGGAGATGTTGATATGATTAGAGGATTTCGATTGAATGATGATAGAACTCCTGGAGAATCGCCAGCCTCTTTAGTGCCAACTCCCCAACTGAATCTTTCTCAACGATTGAAGGTAATACTTGAAGATTGCGATGAAGATGAAAGTAAAAAAGCACAAGGGAATTGAATAATTATATTTAATTTCACTTCCAAAGTTCATAGGTTTTCCTCTTATATTTGTTCTATAATAAATTTATATCCCGTTGTTGTACGTAAATAATTACATGATTTGTTTAGTCTACTAATTAACACATCAGCATTGTCATGCATGTAAACATGGGATTAAAGCTTAAAGGAGCCAATTGAGCTTTGAATTTATTTTAAATAGAAGAATATATATTTATGATTGATACAAACTTATAATATCCATCTCTTCCTTGTGTTACTTATAAATATAAAGCATCTTCTTAGCCTCGTTCATATAATAGTAATTATTATTATTATTTAGAGTATAAAGATTTGATGTGGTCTGGATTTTTCAAGGAGCATAGCCTCCACCACCTCCACCACCACTACCACCACCACCACCACCACCACTACCTCCACCATAACCTTCCCCAGCTCCTCCACCTCCACCATATCCACCTCCATGGGCTCCTCCTGCACCATAACCTGCTCCACCACCACCTCCACTCCCACCGCCGCCGCCACCGCCAGAACCAGCACCACCACCGTAGCCACCGCCTTCACCTCCTCCATAACCACCTCCATGCTCCCCTCCAGCTCCATATCCGGCTCCACCGCCTCCACCATGACCACCACCACCTCCCCCACCAATATTTCCGTATCCACCAGCACCCGCACCCCCACCTTCTCCACCACCACTTCCATACCCAGCACCATGCTCACCTCCAGCGCCATAAGCAGCTCCACCACCACTGCCACTTCCACCACCGCCTCCTCCTCCATAGCCAGCACCACCACCTTCACCACCTCCACTTCCGTATCCAGCACCATGCTCACCTCCGGAACCGTAGGCAGCTCCACCTCCACTGCCGCCTCCACCACCATGTCCACCAGCACCTCCATAGCCAGCACCAGCACCAGCACCTTCACCACCACCACCACCGCTTCCATATCCAGCAGCATGGTCACCACCAGACCCATAAGCAGCTCCTCCACCACTGCCACCACCACCACCACCACCACCACCATGTCCACCAGCACCTCCATAACCACTACCGCCATAGCCAGCACCGCTTCCTTCACCACCACCACTTCCATATCCCACACCATGCTCACCTCCAGCACCATAAGCAGCTCCACCACCACTGCCACTACCGCAACCGCCACCATGTCCACCAGCACCTCCATAACCACCGCCAGCACCTTCTCCACTACCACCACCACTTCCATATCCACCAGCTCCCCCTACAGCTGCATGCGCAGCACCACCACCACCTCCTGAGCCACCTCCACCACCATATCCACCAACCTCACCACCACCATATCCAGCACCTCCACCAGCACCATGGCCTTCGCCATAGCCAACTGCAGGAATGTGGTGAATAGGTTCTTCATAAGTGAAGAGGGCTCTAGTGGCAGAACATATTCCTAAGCCTAATAACATAAACAAAACCGAAGTAACAATTCTGTGGGTAGCCATGGGGATGTGTTGGCTAGAAACGGAGGAGAATGATGAAATTTATAGGCATGGGATTGGGGTCCAAAGGCGTGTTGATGGCATAGACAGTAGTTGAGAGCACATGCCAAAGGGAAAATGGTGCCCCCACTTACAGTGTTAGGTCCATTGTACAAACACACAAAATAACATCACTGTACTCATCTCATTGCACTCTTCAGTAGTGTGCTTCTGCTGTCCTCCACTTCTAACCGAACCAGACTACTCTTTTACCGATTCACATAGATTTCGGGCAGTGCAATACTCCAATAATGTATTTCTAATAAAAAAAATTATACCTATAACGATTAATTATATGTTTCTCTCTCGTTTTTTTTTTCCTATGATACTGATATCATACCATTGTACAATTCATAACAATTTAAAAAAGGAATGAAAAGTTATATCATCAATAATTCAATTAACCAGTTTTTGTATATATAAAGTACTTGTTATAGCTATAATAAATTTACATCAAATTAATCATGAGATATGTACATACATTGACGTGACACATTTTGATTGATCATTATACATATATTTTTTATTTGATTTTTTTAATTGATGGGATATATTATATATATACAATTAACCGCACATCTCTAATTGATTAGTTAGATATTATATATACATCAGTTGTTTTTGAATTTACTAAGCGTCCGTGGAGTTTTATGGTATCAGTTATGAGCATAAATCATCGTAGTGGTTTTAAGAGGTTTTTGGTAGGGGTTTTTAAAACACCTAATTTGTGTTTGAGAGTTTATTTTTCAGCCTTTCTGACAGCTTTTTAAAATGATAAATTTATAGATATGTCCATAAAAATATTCCAACTTCAACCAATACTTGAGAGTTTTGTTTTTTCAATTACAAAGTAAGGGTTATTTATTTATTTTCTACTTATTAGTATTTTATAACTTCAAATGTGATAAAATATTCTTATCCTTCTTTGTAACATCTAGAATAATTGAAAAATTATAGCTCTACTTCTCCAAGAATGCATTTAGAAATGAGATTTTAATAATTGCTTAAAATTATTTTATATTTAATATAATTGGAGACGCACATGATATGGTTATTATTATTATTTTTTTTTTGATATAATTAAGATAGTTTTGTAGTGGATAAGGTATTTGTGAAATAAAATTTTAAAACCAATCAAAATACCTCGATTTTGGGTGTTTTATAAACCTCTAAAAAATACACTACACTGATTCTGGGAGGGTTTTTGAACCGGTTAAAACCAGTGCATAAAAAATTTGATAAATAATGGTTTTAGAATACTTCAAAATCAGTCTAATTAAAAACTCCTAAAAACAGTGAGAAAAAAAACCATCGAGCAGACCCTAACTAATTAATATGTTCCCGCACTGGGAAAAAAAAAAAATTGCTCCTCTCTCAACTGCCTTTTAATTGATCGGATATAATCTCCCTTTGATTGGTTTAATATTTTTGTGGGATCCAGACATCTCAAATTTCTGTCTGGAATGGAAGTGGGTGGAATTTTTTAGTTAAAAAATTCCAGAGATCAAACATTGACGTTAGTTGGACCTTATTTAAAACTTGTAGTGGGTCTTTATGTGAGTGGATCTGTTCATGAGATCTGACCTCTTTACATCTAACCAAATCTAATTTGTCGATCTGAGTTTAACTAAAACTGTGCGGAGATGCTTGCTGAAACGAGTATCCCATATATTAAGTTGGTTATAATAATATCAAATGATATAAAATCAAATATGAACTAATAATACCATAAAATTCATAAAAGTTCTTATATTATTATTATTATTTTTAATGAATTTTGGATTTGTTTAAAGCATAATTCTATCTATAAGAAGTGTAATATAATTCAGTATAGAGTGTATTTGGTCTTTTATTTTGTTAATATAAATTTCTTTGACTTGAACATGAAAATATTTCATGCAAATATTAATATCATATATTATCATAAAACTTATGGCATCATATACCATACATGCAGAGCAGCTTTTTCTTACTTAAATTTCAACCTTATTTTTTAGTGTTAAATACACATTGGTTTAAGATATATATCGTATAACTCTATCCTCAAGTTTAAGGTGCATGGCCACCATCTTCACCATTTCCACCACCTCCGTATCCAGAGTCACCAGCACTAGCAGCTCCAGTCCACTACCGGTGCCTACAACTTCACCACCTACACCTCCACAATCAGCACCTCCTGAGCCACCTTCATAAGTGAAAAGGGCTATAGTGGCAGAACATATTCCTAAACCTAATAACACAAAGAAAACAACACTAAAAACTTTGTGAGTAGCCATGGGGACGGGATATCTTGGCTTAGAAACGCCAGGAGGATGATGAAATTTGTAGGCATGCCTTAGAGGGTCGATTGGTAGATGCAAAATACGAATGGTTGCCCCCACTCTCACTGTCTGCTCCATCTTAATTACAACCAAACCAAATGCCATCACTATATTCTCCATCACTCTCACTCACTCCAGTCTCTTGTAGTGTGTTTTTGCTGTGCTCCACATCTAATTTGTTTAACTAAGCTCATACAATAGTTCATCTAAAGTTTAGACTTCAGATTAAGCGCTTTCTTTACTTTCGCCAATTGTGCATGTGCCTCAATATTATATATATATATATTGTTGAAACTAGAGTTTTCAACTTTGAATCAGTAGAAATGGAGTATATATTTGAATCAGTATACATATATATATCCTTAAGCTCTCTTAGAGCCTCTTCATATTTTATCTCTACTATAAGTTTAACATATTGATAAGTTGCATAATTTGAGTGTTTTTAAGGTCGTTTTGATTAACTTCTCATTTATTTCCTTTGTTTTGAAGTTTGTTTTTGTTACGTGTTGTAATAAAACACACACAAACCTAATTAAACCTATCAGATCAAGCAATCACAAAAAAGATTCAACACCACAATTTTTACCGTGGTTCACCTTTCCAAGAATGGGAAGGCTACATCCACGTTGAGCTGCGGAAACGGAAGAAGCTCACTGCACTATTACGAACCATTTTACAAATTACAAACTCTCGATTAAATGATCCAAGAACGAAACCCCAAAATCAACCAATCTTGTAACAATCAACCTAGAGAAATAACACTAAGATCCCTAGCCCTTAGAGAGACAATAACCCTCTCTCAGAATGACAAACACAATCACTCAACTAGTTACACCGATTAAAGATTTCAGAACTGGATGAAAAACCCTAAGAGAGCAAAAACCTATTACACAGTATATCAATCAAAAAACTCCTTTTTGAAGTCTGAAGACTCATTTGCTTATATACCGTTGACCAGGATTGGACTAATTTCTGCCGTTGGATCTTAAGATGATTGATGGTCTAGATTTCTTCCTGAAACGATAGCGTATTACTTAGTTAAGTAACACGGCATCGTTTCAGTCTTCACAATTACATTAAGTTTGAGATATGAATGATTACCTATTGATTTGGATAACTTTTGTATTTTTCAGGCTTTGATTGAGTAGATTAGAGTATTGGAATGAAATTGGAACTTAAAGCTTGAAGAAGTTGAGATTACCTAATATTCTTGAAGGCCACAGTCATGCCTTGATAGTTTACCATGACCATGGTGGTGGAACAAAGAGAAAACAAAGAGACCAGGAAGCACCACGTCCTAGGCTATGGTGACTTAAATTTGGCCACGACCAGGGTTGTGGCGGAAACTATTAGAGCGTTTTTATCAGTTTTTCTTTCCTTTTTCACTTAGGACTCTTTTGAGTATTTAAGTATAATTGAGATCAATTGTCAAGGGATGAATTTTGCATATATTTTAGAGGAGAAGACGGATTCTTGGGGCTTGAAGACTAAAGATCAGATTTAAGAGCTTGATTTTTATTTATTTTCAAGTCTGATTATGTTTTCTTTCTTCTCTATTTCTTTCTTTGTTCTTGGGATGGAGTAAATCTCTTTTGTTAGGGGAGGATGGAACCCTAATTATGTTTTGAACAAATTTTATTCTTAATACCAGATTTATGTTTATGAATTTGTGTAAGAGTTTAGGTTTAATGCTTTATGAATGTTGGATTGATTCAATTACTTTGATGATGTTTCGAATAGAGAAGTTAGGGTTTATTGTTTAATTCATATTCATTATTGTTTTATTGGAATAACATTGCACAACGTATTAAAACTAGACGTAATCGAATAGAGATTCTAGGATTAATTTGTGGTCCATCTAATTCATAACCGAATAGGGCGAATCAGTCATAAGGGATTGATGAATTTGTGCTTCTTAATTTTAGAGTAACCGAATAGAGATCTGTATTAAGTTGAATATTACGCCTGAATAAGAATAATTGACCTTAGAAGAATCCTACCAATTCATAGCACAAACAGGTATTAAGAGTAGTTGTCAAGCATAATTAGGGAAAAATCTGTATCATAACTTCATTAATACAACAAAGTTCTTCACATTATTTATTTGTTTAATTTAGTTATTTTTTAATCCATTAGTTTTACACTCTAAGCTTTTGTTTTCTCAAATAAGGTTAGGTAGCTTTAAGTAATTACAAATAATTGCTTTGATCTCTATGGGACGATACTCAATTCATCACTTTATTACTTGAACACGACTAGTACACTTACTAAGGTTGATTTAGTCGCATCACATATACTAGATTTTTTCCTCTTAGATACTGTTAAGTTCATTTACTTGTGTACTGAAAAACATACTATTAAAGTTTCCTATTGTGTTTTAGATATTATTATATTTTCTTTGTTGTAGAGATTGCATTGTTATTGTAATATTTTATATGCTTATATAACTATCACACTTTTGTATAAATATGTTGTTTATTCACATACAATTCATAACAATTTAATATAAATAATTCAGTTTAATTAAGTAAAATTCTTCACTCTTAAAGATATATCTCGAATATAATACAACTTTATTAAATTATCTCTCTTACAATCTCAATTTTGACATAAAAACTACAGACTTAAATTAGCTACATGTGTTTCGATTTCTTCTTGGGGCTTACAGTTTTGACATGTCTTACAACAATGTTTGGCCACAATAAATGAAACGTACTATATAAATGATATTTTAGTCGTAAATAAACTTAGCACATATCTTAATTAGTTTAATTGTTTATGTAAAAATCAATGTAAAGCCCACCATCCAATAAAAAGATTGGCTCTTGATCAAATTGCGGCTGAAGTAAGTTGGCTGGTGCGCCTGATTTATTATATTCTTAATTTACAAACCATTTAGGATAGCACGTATACAGAATATCCTCTTTTGCTGTGGTGATGAATGCTGATTATGGAAAGGACGTCGTACTCCTCCTTAAGCTTATTTAATTAATTTATTTGGTAGAATAATATTATGCTCAGAGTTGAATCGAATAAAATAATTATTTTATATAATTTTTATGTGGTTGTATAATTCAATTGTAAATAAAATATTATTATATCATATAATCGTAAACCAAGTGATAACTGAGGCACGCCTTGAACTATCGATCCATCCATTTACACTTCATTAAATTTTCAGAGTTTGTATCAAGTAGCTAGTGTCAAATAATACAACTGCAAGGACGATATTCAGTTTAATGTTAAGGAAATAAATAATAGGTTACGGTTAACTCGGATGGAAGAAATAATTTATTATTTGAATGAAAATATTTCAATATATATATATATATATCAATGTTTGTTTGATACGGTTTTTTTGGTAAAATTTATGAAAACTTAATTTATTATTGTATAGCATAAAAAAATTTAGTTTTTATAAAAAAAAATTGTTAATTGTTTGTATAAAAGAATATAAAAAGAGTTTTTTTTTTTTTTTCTCAATATTAAATCGCTAAAAAAAGTTTTAATAAAAAACAAAGGTTCAGATCTTAATTTTTTTTTTTTTTTCTAGTAAACATGAAATAACTTATTTAAAATTTCAAAAACACTTTTGAGATGTAATTAGAAAAAAAATTATTATTAATAGATAAATCAAACCAGCCAAATTATTCATAAAACTTATGGCATCACTAGGTTGGCATTCATATTCTTACAACAGTAAATCACATGCATCACAGCTTTTTCATAAATTTAACCAGATTTTTTAGACCAATATACACATTAGGTTTTAGATATGTAAGTGAAATGAGCCGGTATTTAAGGGGCATAGCCACCAGCTTCAACACTTCCACTTCAATAACCAACCTCATCATGTCCTCCTCCAGCACCAGAACCACCACCACCTCTCCCACCACTCATCCAACTCCCACCACCTGCTCCTCCGGTGCCACTCGCTTCTCCAACACCATAGCCACGTTCGGATCCATTTCCAGTGTCATCAGTACCAGTACCAGCATACCTCTACCACCAGTTCCACCATCACCACTGCCGCCATTTTCTCCACCAGCGCGGCCACTTTCTCCTCTTCCGATTCCATAAGGACCATAATGAGGAGGTCCATCACCATCACCGCCATTGTATATACCATGGTCTACGCCGCTTCTTCTGGGTTTAGGAATGACGGGATCAAGCGGTTCTTCATAACCGCGGAGTGGTCCAGCGGCACAACATATTCCTAAACATAATAAAAAATAAATAAATAAAAGAGCACCAACAACTTTCTGGTTAGCCATGGTATGTCTTGGCTTAGAAACGCGGAGAATGATGAAATTTATAGGCATGACTTAAAGAACCGATTGGTAAATGCAAAAAGCCGAAGGCTTTCTCCAATCACACCATTGCCACCCAAAATGTCATCACTATATATATTCCATCACTGTCACTCCACTCTTTAATAGTGTGGTTTTGCTGTTCTCCACATCTAATTAATTCAACTAAACCCGTACAAGAGTTTGTCTACATTTTGACTTTAGATAAAGAGTTATCTTTTCATTCGCCTGTACTTGTGCTTGTGCCTGATTATGTAACCCGTTGAAACTAGCTAGTTAATTTTTTCAACTCTGAATAATATTAAAAATGGAGTAGTATATATAGGTATCATCATTTCTCAACAGTTATTGATTCCTTATTTTCCTCAGAGCCACTTCATTTGATCTCTACTGAAAGTTTATCACCATTTTTTTTTTTTTCGCATCAGATACTATCAAGTTCATTATGTACAACAAATATGTTATGTCCTGTACTGTCCTAATATCGAAAAGCTTCAAAACTAGCTACATGTATTTCGTTTTCTTCCTGGGCTTACAATTCTGACATTTCCAGGCTGCGAAGGATTAAAGCAATGTTGACCACGATAAATGAAACACACTGCATAAATGAGATTTTAGTCGTAAATTTGCTTGATTAACTTATCTAGTCGGCTTAATTTGCAAATTATGCATGTGTTTATTACCAAGCAACAGAATGTCCTCTTCTGTTGTGGTGATGAAAAACGTCGTCATACACTTAATTAGCATACATACAAATTACAATTTTAATTAAATGTGATATAATCAATGCTTTTTAATTACCACCATCTTATGTGTGATTGGCATTGGCGTGTGTATAATCAAGAGAGAAAGAAAACATTTACTAAAATGATCGGGAGAAGAAGATTTCATATCATAAATCATATAATAAAACTTTTCATAAATCATATAATAAAACTTTACTTCATTCAAACTGGCATTCATGTATATATAAATATAGTTTCTTGCGGTACACGCACATTCATATCCCTTTTTTCTTAACCAAATTCAACCTTATTTTTTATATTATTAAAGTAAGATACTATGGCTTAAGGTGTTGTAGAAGTGTAATGAGGTTAAGGTTTCCTCAACTTTAAGGGGCATAGCCGCCGCCACCATGGCCGCCACCTTCACCACTTCCACCCCCAGCCCCATAGCCACCTCCATGTGCACCTCCTGCGCCATATCCACCACCGCCACCTGAGCCTCCGCCACCACCTCCTCCAGCACCTCCAGCTCCCCCACCGTAACCCCCTCCTTCTCCTCCACCACTTCCATAACCACCCCCATGTGCTCCCCCAGCACCAGAACCACCACCCCCTCCTCCACCACTCCCACCACCTCCTCCAGCGCCACCCGCACCACCACCTCCATATCCACCTCCGGATCCACCTCCATATCCAGCACCACCTCCACCAGCACCTCCCCCACCACCACTTCCACCACCTCCACCAGCACCACCTCCAGCACCCTTTCCTCCACCAGCACCATATCCAGCGCCACCACCTTCACCAGCCCCACCTCCATATCCAGCAGCTCCCCCACCAGCACCACCGCCACCACCACTGCCACCTCCACCACCATGTCCAGCAGCACCTCCATATCCAGCACCACCACCTTCTCCAGAACCAGCACCTCCTCCATATCCACCTTCTCCTACAGTTCCATATCCACCACCACCCCCAGAGCCCCCTCCACCACCATGTCCCCCACCAACACCAACACCAACGCCAACACCGGCTCCAACGCCATGTCCAGCAACATAGCCCGTTTTCAGTGAGTGAGTAACTTCTTCATCATGAGAGAGGAGGACTCTGGTAGCAGAAGATATATTTAAACCTAATAACACAAAGAAAACGAAACTAGCAACTCTGTGAGTAGCCATGGGAATGTGTTTATGTTTTAATTTGCAAGGAAAGATGGGTACTTATATAGGAATGGGATTGGGGTCCAAAACCGCGTTTCGCAGTAGAGTGAGCAATACTTTGAAAAGAGAAATTTTGGTTACCCCACAAAGTGCACGAGCGGAAAGACACAAAGAAATTAAACACTTATACTAGCGGACTCTCTAGCGTGCTTTGCTGTCCACCACCAATATTTGATCATGCATGTTATGTATATACAAGTTGTGCTATTGCATGTAGCGTTTTGAGACGTAATTTTTCTTTATCCACTAATATATGTTTGATGGATCCAACTCAGTTGTGATCTTTTTCATATTAATATGGCTAAACTGATCACGGTTCAAATTGATTTTCAGCAACTTTGTTTCTGCATTCAGATCTTTTAATAACTTGAATGGGCAGAGTGATATAGCTTATTTGCTGTCTGGTTGTGGAAGAAAATTGCATGTGCATATATATTCAAATGCAATATATATATATATGATGATGGGTGAATTAAGAAACTAAGAAAAACACTTAATTTTACATGCATGGTTCTGTTGCAAAGAAGGGCATAGCTGAATATCAATTGGTCTATTGCTCCTTAATATACACTAAAACCAATCATAATGAGAAGATCGGTAATCTTTAAGGTACCACAATGCCTAGATTATAATGTTAATTGATGATAAATCTTATCCCACTGACCACTAAGATAAGAAGTAATGACAAAACCGCCACACGCACTAATTTATATTAAATATGGAATATTGTTTCAATGAGGGATCACTATTGGTTACATTATCAATTAATTAATTTCTACTGCTCATATTGGTTACCGAGAAGATCATTGAAGAATATAATAACATAATAACCAGAGCTCGTTTTAGTGAAAAAAATTAAAAGCAACAGAGAGGACGTAGTAGATTTCCTCGCATGGCATATATTACTATTAATCACAATTACTTTGATCTTCAATTCATCATCAATCATAGTCAATGTAATATTAACCATGTGTGGGCTCTTTTTGTTTAATTTGCGCAGCTTTGCGGGCTGATCATGGCTAAAATATTTTAACCTAAAGAGTAGGTTGGATTCAACTCATAGAGTTTGTTTCTTGTTAATTGATGATAATGGATTGGCACTCGAACCTGGAAACTTCATGATTTTTCTCTAATACCGGCGGTATGAAAGATGGAGGAAAATATAAGTCGGTACCAATAACAGCGGTATGAAAGATGGAGGAAAATATAAGTCGGTACCAATAACAGAAAAAAAAAAAAAAAAACTAAATTTGTGAGAGTACTACTATATATATACAATATAATTTGATTGAATAATTTAAAACTAGAGATAAATGAAATAAATTGAAATGGATGATACGGCAAATGTATGTAGCATTACTCATTTGTGAGATAAAAGTATAACTTTAATTTAATATTATAATTAGGTCAATAATATTAATTTAATTAATATAAAACTAGTAAATATTGTTCCTAAATACGTAATATAGAACATAAAATTTAATGATATAGATATTCCATATCATGTTATTAATCACATCACAATTCTATATTTCATTTCATTGCATTAAACAAGGGGGTGTGCTACACAAAGAAAGAATAAATTAAACTGTGAGAAATTCTTTTTGGGCTGGGATCTTTAGGGTTTGAACTAGTCAAACAATAATTTTTGTCAAACTCTATTTGCGAACATCAGTTCTCTGTCTTTTCCCTTCATCTTTACAAGCACGACTATACCATTCTCCATTTCTCCTAGAATCTCGATCTAGTTCGAATCAACTAATTCTAAATATGCCGACCCTGAGTTTGTATTGCCATAAGAAGAAGAGAACGTGAGACACTTTCTAAAGTCATTCATTAATCTTGATAATGAAGCAAAGTTAGGGAACTTTGGACCATTAAAGTGGGTATACTAGTTTCACCACTCTCAATGTTCCTGCTACTTGAGACCCTCCATGTGATTTTCTTATTAGGGTTTTGCAGATGTGGCGCCGACCAGCCAACCATGTTGAAATACTTTCATACTTTCGCAGGTGCTTGGCCTATGAGAATCACTTTCGACATTGTCATCTCATACTCACCTTTTCAGCCAAGCAGAATGCAATGGAAAACAAATGCGGTATCCCCCACAAGAAATTAGGAAAACAACAATCATCGATTTGTAATTTTCAACGATAGTGTTCTGTAGAAGATCATCCACTTTCTTCAGTTCCTTTATCAGATCCACCGATAGATATAGTGTGAAATATGAAGGGGCTGCATGCTACTTGAAGATTAAATATCGGAACCAGTTAATCCGACGACTCAAAATTAAATGACAATGTCTATAAATTGAATCGTATTCACTGCAGTATTTCCAGCCAAGCTTAGTGGGAAATCACATGCAACAGCGCCTTCATTTATCGAACTCTACCATAAACTAGTGGGAGGGACCAATCCATCTCATTTTGCTTGGCTACCTAGTGGATCTTTGTTTCCACGCTTGCTTCAGTCTACTTCTATTCTACCTAATACTACATCATCTGTGACGTCTAAACATTTTAGGGTGCGTTTGTTGTATTATTCCCTATCTTATTCTAGATCTTATTCCTAAAATACATGTTTGGTTAATTATTTGGGAAATATTATTCTATTTTTTTAATTACTTTTAGATCCCTTAAGTTTATTAATTTAATTAAACACCCTTAGAAAAAAAAGTTTAAAAATTAACAAAAACACCTCCACCCACCCATAGTTGCCAGATTTCGGCAACCACCGTCGGTAATTGTCAGAATCTGTCACAACGGCATAGAAATGACCAGAATTGGTCATTCGCTGATCTGGCCTTTTTCGATCGAATCCACAGTGGATATGGTCTTCGTTGACGGCCAAATCTAGTATTTTGTGGCCATCAACGGCCAGATCTGGTTTTTTCCAGCCAGAGTCATGGTGGATCTAACAAGAGTCATGGTGGATCTAACAGGAAAAGGTCATATCGACGCACGATCGGCTAATCCGACCAGTCTGCGTCGTAACACCATTTTCCTGGCCGAAATCTGGGACTGTGGGTGGGGGGAGGAGGAGGGGGTGTGTTTTTGTCATTTTACAATATTTTTATATATTTGCGTGTTTACTTAAATTAGCAAACCTATGGGGTTTTTTTGTTAATTTTTAAATTTTACCTCGTAATATTCACCCTATTCAACTACCCAATATTATTCCCAAAATTATATCCAAAATAACAAAACAAACGCACCCTTAATTATTTTACAATATCGTATTTTCTTTGGCTCCTCAAATTCAATCACTACATCAATTTTCTAGAACTTCAACATGAAATTGAAGGACCCACTCCTACATTTATTATCCTGCTATATATTTACTAGAAGAAATAAAATTAAAAATAAAATCATTTTTATTGAATTTAGGTAATATTTTAAGCCAATTAATTAAAGGAAAAAAAAAAAAGTTTCTTATGTTCTCATACATCACTGGACATGCAAGGCCTGCATAATTGCCCAAGTCTGTATGACATTAGTGGGCCTTGAGCCCAGATTGGAAATGACTCATAGAGAGGTATTTGGACATAACGTAAGCATACTTTTAAGAGTCCACGATCTTTTTCCACTCAAATAATGGTTTAATAACACTTTTTCATTCATGAACTTTTAAAATATCACTTTATTACCTAAATTTATATTTCAACGACGAACAAAGAATAAACTCAATCTAGATCATTAGGGCTTTTGAAGAGGAGAGACCAATAAGTCTTTTAATGGTGAAATATTAGATTTTGGTAGTTAAGATTAATCGGAATTTAACTTGAAAGGGGCGGCTGTGCAAACCTTAATCGCTTAATTACCGATGATTGGCAGAGTCAATGCAAGTAGGGTTTGAGAGGTTTTGGTGATTGATGATCAAGAAAGAGAATGGTGGTAGTGTAAGGTCGCAACGATGCCGAAATCGGAGACAGAATATAAATTTGGATAACAAAATAGTATTTTAAAAATATATGAGTGAGAAAGTGTCATTAAACCATTATTTAGGTAGTAAAAAGTAGTGTACTCTATTTTTAACCATATAAAAGATTATTTCATTTCTGAACTGTAAAAGCGTCTCTAATAGTACTCTTTATTTTAAACAACATATTTCATATAAATAAAGAGTATTTTCATTAATTTTTAAATATAAAAAATAATTTTTTTTTAAATTTAATAGATTTTTTAAATTTAATGCTGTTGTTTTTTATTTTTAAAAAAGAGATTTAATAGAAAAGAGAATTAAAAAATAAAATATATAAAAACTTATAATTTATTAATTAAAATTAGAATTGAAAGTGAAATTTATATATATATATATAATTTTTAAATTTAATGCTGATGTTTTTTATTTTCAAAAAAGAGATTTAATAGAAAAGAAAATTAAAAAAGAAAATTTATAAAAATTTATAATTTATTAATTAAAATTAGAATTAAAAGTGAAATTTATATATATATATATATATATATATGTGTGTGTGTGTGTGATATCACCCTATATTTTAAAGATAAAAAACTCTTGATTTCGTGAATAATAAAAATTTTACATCATATCAAGAGTCTGCGAAGATGCTCCCAGCATATTACAATAAATTATTGGATAGAAGACAAAAACAACTCGATATCATCAAGAATACAACTATCCTTAGCCCTATCGCCTGGCTTCACATACTGTTTCCCGTCTGACTCACTATATTCATTCCACCCCACTTTCCCTTTCTTCTCCCACAATCTCTCTGCAAAACTCTTATTCGCAAAATACGCTTCTGCCTCCACCAAACCCTCACCCTCATCCTCTTCACTCTGGACTTGAACTGGGAGCCTATCATAATGACCAAACTTCGTGCCCTCGAACTCGTCCAGTCGAGCGAGTCCCTGCGTCGACACTGAGTACAACTCGCCCTTGACTCGATTGCCTGACCCTGAGAGGTGGATGAGATAAGGAATGTCGTAAGGACCGCAGACAAGCGGGTAAGGATGGTGGGTGATGTAGGGACCGAGAAAAACGGCAACGTTTTTGTTTATCAGTTCCCGCATGAGATAATGGTTGGAAAAGCCTCGCTTGAGCGTGCCGTAGGAGAAGATTAGGGTTTGTTTGGAATTGGAATCCTGATTTGTGCTCATGGCTGGAGAGAATGAAAATTTTGGTGGAGACTGGAGAGTGGATGAGAGTGAATCGCCTAGATATAAAAGTGGGTCTGGACTTTGGATTGGACTTACAGTCTGTGGGCAGTGCTGTTTTGTGGCCCATCTTTCAGGCCCATTTGGGTAATGGTAATGGATGGTACAATGATAAAACTGAGCCATCAGAAAGAGCAAATAATTTAGTGAATGGTTTGCGGAAGAAGAGATGTAATTAAAAATAATTTTTAAATATAAATTTCACAGTGTCACATCCGTAAATTCTGTTAAAGAAAGCGTGAATATTCATAATCGCTTTTAGGAAACATAAAATGCAGTAACTCAGACACTGGGATAATTTCTGGAATACGACGTCGCCAAGACTATAATGATCGTACATCTGCTGACCCATCATCATTAACTCCTTTTTAATCTTATTTAAATACAATAATAAAAGATATTTATTTTTTAAAATACAAGTTTGTAATCCCAAAAATTAAAAAATAATTTTGTTCTAAAAATGAGGTAACCTTAAAACACGGAAATAAAAATATAAATTAAAAAAAAAAAAAAAGGAGTGGGCGTGCGAATGAGTTCAAGTGTGCGTGTGCGTATGTCTGTTGCATAAACACAAGTCCCTATTAAAGAAAACAAGATGTTTGATTGGTGAGACCAAAAAGTGTTACGTGCGACCAAATTGGAAAACGACATCGTCACGTGTACGCTGGGACATCCTTCCTTTCCACATGGCTTGTTCCTCCCACGTGGGCCCCCATCAATTCGGAAGTATGGATTTTTGGGAAAGGAAAATGCCCTCTTCCTTTTTATCTAAAACAAAATAAAAAGAGTTAATTGTAATTAACTCCTGCCAGCCATCCAAATCCTACATGTTAAATCTTACATATTAGAAATTGTAAATTATACCATAATTCATGTTATAAGATAACACAAAAATCCTGTCACATCATGGATTTGAAATCACAGTAACCGACCTTTATGTTTTTAAAGCCAAAGACTTGAATGAATTTTAAAGAAGAAGATCAAAGCGTGGTGGGGTTTTGTTAATCGGAGAATTGACATCTCTTACTCTTTGCATATGAAATGTCTTAAGGAACAGAATCTTAAAGAAAATAAACGAATGAATGTAAATGGGTAAAGCCAAAGGGAAAGGGACCCGTGGCCGTGAGATTAGAGAAAGCCATGAAGATGAACAAAAGAATAATATGTGTTTGAAAAGTTACGTACTTCTTATAATTGTACCCCGACAAATATCCCGTGCATATTGCCAATCATAATTTTCTTAGGCGGCATTGGGTAATTCCTATCGAACAATCATTTATCGAACTCTACCATAAACTAGTGAGATCAATCCATCTCATTTTGCTTGGCTACCCAGCTAGTGGATCTTTGTTTCCACGCTTGCTTCAGTCTATTTCTATTCTACCTAATACTACATCACCTGTGACGTCTAAACATTTTAATTATTTTACAATATCGTATTTTGGCTCCTCAAATTCAATCACTACTTCATCAATTTTCTAGAACTTCAACATGAAATTTGTTGATGCGTGATTTTGATACCAACTAAACGCACATGTGAAATGTTGAGTTGGTTCAGAAGATACACGTGAATAAGAGATTGATAATGTAAATGACTGCAAGATAATGTTTAAAATGGTTCGGATGCTCAATCAAGTGAATCCTACGTCCACTGATATTGTATTTATATTTGAAGGATCAGGTCGCAGCTTAGCGAACTCACTTTGGAGTATTGAGAATACAAATAAGAGAGGGAGAGAGAGTGGGCTATTACAGAGAGAAGATAGCTAATCACGCGTAAAATGAGCCAATCTCACTAACGGGAGAAAAGCTCTCTATTTATAGTGGGATACCCTAAGGTAATGATTATTGAATCCGTAAAAAGGGTTTAGGTACCGTGCAAATTCTCCTTTGCGTCCCATTATTCACCTACTCGAGTGATTTTCTTGCTTTATGTAGGGATTGGACACATGGATGACCTCCAACCTTTCGTCAGCCTGGCGCACACCCACTGCACTGGCAAGAGCATGCTGCTTACTAGGGGTGTTCAAAAGAACCGGTTAGAACCGTAACCGGCGGGTACCCTGGGTTTGGTTCTGGTTCCTACCCAGAACCAGTCGTCAATGGGTAGGTTCCGATTCCAAATTTTTGGAACCGTTACTGTGTGGTTCCGATTCTGGTTCCTATAGTTAAGAACCGAAATCGAAACCAAGAACTAGAAACTGAGACTAATATAAAATAAAATTAAAGATTAGGGGGGTTAATAAAAACTTTTATAGAAAAAGTAATGTGCATACATTTATATTTATATTTCATAACATTTAATGTAAGTTGGTTTGCCTTTTGAGAATCTACCTTTACAAAGTAATGGAGTTTGTAATTTTGAATTTGTAATTTGTAATTTTATTTTTGTTAACAAGTGCCAGGTGGGGGGGTATTTGTAAGTTTTTAAGGGTTTTTTTTGCCATTTTAAAAACTTTTGGGGGGTTAGTAATTTTACAGGGTACCCAAAACTGGAATCGGAACCGTTGTTACAGGTTCTGGTTCTGAGTACCTAGGAACTGGAACCGTCGGTTCTGGTTCTGGTTCCAAATTTCAAAGAACCGTTGGTTCCGGTTCCGGTTCCGGTTCCGGTTTCGGTTCCTTCAAAAAGTACAGGGTACCCAGAACCGAACACCCTTACTGCTTACACTAGCGTGCGACGTGGCCGCACCTGAATGGCTGCAAGATCGGCCTAGACTCTGACCACTTGTGCTAACTGAGCTCTACGTTAGCCCTACTTTTCCAGACATAATAGAAGTCCCCTAATTTTTAAGGTTTGAGAATCGAACCTTGGAATTATAAATGCCTTGACTTGATGTGTTTGAAGAGATACTGTTCGAAGCGACTTGATTGCGAAGGAGGCCAAGAGGACATCTCTTCACGTGCGACCTAAGGTGATCTTTGCCCTTATAGTCAAAGACCTAGATTTGGGTACCCAATGCTATAATGGTGATTCCGACCTGGATGGAATCCGCGATCTGTTTACATTTAGCAGCTTTCAAGAGGATAAATGGTCGCTGCTTCGCGACTGATGGGTCAAAGAATCAGATCGCTTCGTAAATGATGCGAGACGAGGTTGAAGAGTTACGTCACCTCGTGACCTACAAAATGAAGAGTGTTTTTCATAACGACCTCTTCAGATGTTATCCGTTGCATTTTTGTAGCGGATGCATTAAATGAAGCACCCTTTACTCTGACAGTCGTGTCTTAAGCGTAATAAGTGCCAACCATGTGCATTAAATGTGAGCTATGCTGAAACGACATTCCCTATCAGAGCATTAAATGCAGACGTGGGCGCATTAAATGTGGAAGAGGGAAAACATGTCATCGCTTGGGTGTTTCAACAGAAGGGAATGACGATCTGATTTCTCAAGGCATGACGGTCACTCTTCCTCACTGATTCGTGACATGTGGTTGTGACCAACGATCGGATATGCTTTCCGCCCAAACGTCGTTTGACTTCGAGAAACCAAAGCGCCATTTCCTTAGCTATATGAACCCCAAGCTCGCTTTAGGCAAAGTCACAGTATTTTCATTCTCAGAGAGAGCAAGAGACTTTCATGAATCCTGGTTTTTTGCCTTCCAAAGTGGTGCTTGACTGATATTCGGAGCAGAAGAGCCAATCTTTCTCATTCCAAGAGGTAAAAATGATTCCCTTCTATTTTTTGGTTTGATTTTGCTTTTGACAGTCGTCGCCGTTGGTAGCTCATCGGAGATGATATATCCTCCGTTGGGTCAGGCCCATTGATGGTGGCCCTTTAAGTATTCTGTTAGGGTTTTTCTAAGGTTTAGGGAGGTAATATTTATTCTCCTCCACGTCATTATACAAGGTAGTGTACGAGGACTGAATGGTTCCCTGCTTTTCGCTTTTGCAGACCACAGGAGAATGGACCCCCCAACGACCAGAGCTGAGGAAGGGACCAGCTCACCCATGCAGGCTGCTTATATGGGTCCCATTCGAGAGATCTTCTCGGTACTTACCGAGGAAGAGCTTGAAAGAGTGATAGACCAGTACGTTATTAGCGCGGAGGTCTTCCACAACAGAACACACACAGCTTGGTATCCGCCACGATGGTTAGCCGCGATCTTCGAGGACATCTTCAAGGGTGGGGGGTTGATCCCTTTCTACCCCTTTGTCAAGACGGTCCTCGATCATTTGGGGAGCGCGCCAATGCAACTCACACCGAATGCATACACGATTGTCTTTGCCATGTACATCGCAAGTCGTAAAAACGGGTTGGGCGAGCTAACCGCGGTAGAGCTCGGTTGCTCATATATTCTGAAAAAGAGCAAAGACAAAGGTTCCTACTACTTGTCCAGGCGACCTACCATAGAAGCGAGGATACACAGTTACCTGAGTAATGTAGGACCGTATGAGACGAAGTTCTTTTTCTTTCGTCACGACGGCCTTTGCCACTTCCAGGAGCCGAGTAGGTGCTTTTTCCTTTCAAGTTTATTGGCTTTATTTGTCCTTTGCTAATGAGCTGTTTATTTTTCTGGCTGTTAACAAAATGATCAGTTTAGAGTTGCTCGTGGATCCAGGCAGAATCACAACCTTTGGTTTTCTGCCCGAAGTAACTCGCGACGCGAGGTTGCTCTTGACAACTGCGAATTTGCGAAAATACGGTTTCTTCAATCGAAACGCGGCCTAAGAGACCCCGCCGAGTAAGTTTCTTGACTTCTTTTTTACTCTTCGCGTAGCGAACTGTTTTACTAGCGGTGTTCGCATGCAAGGACCATGCCCCCCAGAGTGCCTAAGTCACCACGACCAAGGCAATTTTCCTTCCCCCGAAGAGGTACCACTGGACCAACTAGAGCGGCTCCCAGCGATCCCTCTCATGGGAGCACATCGACGACCGATCCGGCCCGAGCGCCCTAAGCAGAAAACTATGGCCTAGAGGCCTAAAAAAAAGACACTGATTCAGACCGAAGAGTCGAA